TGAACCGCCGAACTGCAGATCAATGGACTCACTTCGCAACCGTATTATTTTTCCCTGTGTCAGGAAACCAATTTTGGGCACTTGGCTGCACGTGTCCCCGTTTTATGACGGATTTACTTCCGGCGTTCGACAAAACTTCGGTTTTCGGCGATTCGGGTATGCTGGAAGACGCCAGTCGGCAAGGGTTTGAAATTCCAATCAGATGAACCCTGGGGTGATTCTGCAGTGGTCCTAAGTCCGAGGATCAGCCATAATAGGTCGCTTTAAGTGTCACCATCACTGTGTAGTCGCTAAATGAATGGCCATAAATCGATTTTATAAATTTCTTTGCTGGAATCTGTGGATGGGAGGCGTAAAACCTGGGCCTAAAGGTAACGGTTCCCCTCGCACATCTGTGCTAGTCGTTCCTGACTCTAGGGGGCGCTGCTCATCAAAGCCGAAGAGCCAGCGCTGACCGAAGACGTCTCTGTGGTCATGTTGCCGGCATGACTCAACTCCCGAAGGCGCACGGAACGCTGTTTCCCTTCCCACCAAAATTGGTGGTTCCTATTTTTCTACTTGCATTTCTTTATGTGCTTTCGAACTGCTAGGCTGGCAGAAGCTGGGACGAGTCACGGGAGCTCCCTCATTTAATCAACCTGGCCTAGAAGCTGCAAAATAAAGACGTTTTTCAGATCAAAGTTCCTTGCCAGATTAAAAAAATAAAATCCGAAAGTTCTCACCTCTCGACTCAGCTTGAACATCTTAAAAAACGAGATTTCTCCTTTCACGGTTTATAATCACTGCTCCTAGGAAACACAACAGTTTTTTTTTTAAAAAAAAGGCCCTTACAATTGGAAGCGTCAAAACGATCTAATTTTTTCCTGCTAACCAGGACTCTAAGCAGCTTAAAGCTACCGAGAATCTGTGGGGTTTTTTTCCTCCCTACCCTCCACCCCTTTGAAAGGATTAAATCCATGCTTTTCATGTCCCAAGCAATGCGCTTAAAGCTGGAAAGAGACAGAGAGAGAGAACATATTGTGTGATTCGTCCTCCCACTAAGAACCACGGATATATCGTGGAGTTTGCTGATATATTTTTTTTTTAAAACAACAGCTGCACATCGCCCCAGAACCTAAAAGAACAACAGAATTAATCAAGCATTTTAACACTCAGCGTAAACAGGCAGGCGACGACAGCAGCGCGAGGCTGGCCTGAAAAAATTGTTATTTTTGCAGGCTTTCAGGCTAGTAAAATTGCTCCTCTGAGTAAAAAGCACAAAATGTTCTTAGAATAAGAGCTAGTTCTCTGTTGGGGTGTTGTTTTTCCCCCCCACTCTCCTTTCCTATATAAGGGCATATAAGCACAAATCCAGAATAAAGGAGTGGCTATAAAATATAATTTAACTGGATTTTAGGACCCAAATGTGAAAAGGAGTTTTTAGCTAGGTTAGGAAACCACAGTAACCCCAGGAAGGCAGCCAGACAATTTTAAAGAATAAAATTAATATATACAACACGTTATATAAATGCAGTATAAAAAACATATACTATAGCTTAGTGGCTAATATAACTGCCTGATATGTAAAAACAGCCCAGGTTCGATTCCCAGTAAGGGTAAGGCTAGCTGA